CTAGTATTACTAGTATTACTAGTATAACTACTGGTATTACTAGTATTACTAATATTACTAGTATTACTAGTACTACTAGTATTACTAGTATTACTAGTATTACTAGTATTACTAGTATTACTAGTATTACTCGTATTACTAGTATTACTAGTATTACTAGTATTACTAGTACTACTAGTATTACTAGTATTACTAGTATTACTAGTATTACTAGTATTACTAGTATTTCTAGTATTACTAGTATTACTAGTAATACTAGTATTACTAGTATTACTAGTATTATTACTAGTATTACCAGTTTTACTAGTATTACTAGTATTACAAGTAAAACAAGTATTGCTAGTATTACTAGGATTACTAGTATTACTAGTATTACTAGTGTTACTAGTGTTATTAGTATTACTAGTTGGTGCATTTAAGATGTATGCAAACGATTGAAGAATATGTCTGGATGTAACCCTATTGCTTAAACCTAAACCCTAAAACTTCCCGGGTCCCGGCGCCGGGACCCGGGGAATGCAGGGTTTAGGCTGGCTCCTAAACCTTGCATTAACTTACTGTGCTGCATCAATGATATGTGAGAATGTAGAATATTATGTGTAGGTACATTCCCCGGGTCCCCGCGCCGGGACCGGAAATAGGGTTTAGGCTTCAAAACTACAAGACGTTTCGAGTCTGCAACTGAAGGTGTCTGGGTCTAAAGTTTTTCTATATCTTAAACGGTTTAAACCTTGTCTTGGTGTAGTTTAAACGGTTTAAACCTTGTCTTGGTGTAATTTCCCGCTCTGTGAAGATGTACTGTAAGATGTGTAAGAACATGGCAAAGGCACCGGGACCCGGCACTGGGACCCGGCGCCGGAACCCGGCAAATTTAGGGCTTAGGCTGTCGGACTACGCAATGTTTAGCGTCTACGTTTTACAAGGTTGAAACCTTGCATTGGTTTGGTGCATTTACGTATGGTGTATGCAAACGATTGAATAATAAGTCTAGATATAATCCTGTTGCTTAGACCTAAACCCGAAAACTCTTCGGGTCCCGGCGCCAAAACCCGGGGAATTTAGGGTTTAGGCTGCAGGCACACACGATGTCTCGAGTCTCCGTTTGAAGGTGTTTGGGGTTGAAGTTTTTCTACATGGCTCCTAAACCTTGCATTGGCTTGCTGTGCTGCATCCATGATATGTGCGCATGTAGTATATTGTGTGTAGGTATAACCACATCTGCATCCTAAACCCTAAATTCCCCGGGTCCCGGCGCTGGGAACCGGAAAAATTAGGGTTCAGGCTTCAAAACCACAAGCGTTTCGAGTCTACAACTGAAGGTGTCTCGGTCCAAAGTTTTTGTATATTTTTTACCGGCTTAAACCTTGTCTTGGTGTATCTCGCTTCCGTTAGACGACCTTAGCAGGTGTTTCGTGCATCTCAATTACTACCGGGCCCCTGTGGTAGAACCTTTAAGCGCTTGCGTCGTTGCAGCCCCTTCAAGGCAAATTCTGATGGGTGGTGTGGGTGGTGTGGGTGGTGTGGGTGGTGTGGGTGGTGTGGGTGGTGTGGGTGGTGTGGGTGGTGTGGGTGGTGTGGGTGCTGTGGGTGGTGTGGATGGTGTGGGTGGTGTGGGTGAGTGTGTCTTAATTAAGCAAGGTGTACCTTTCTTAAAAATAGAAACATGGCATAACTATAAAGCGCCAAACTGAATTAAGCAACGTTGGGCTCTCTGGGCAACGCGGGCCATTGCAAGAGATCAGATCAGAGCCTGTTTCCGTCAGGTTAGCTAATCAGCAAGAAGACAAGTCCTAAACCTCCCAAGGTCTAGTCGGCCTTTTGCTGGACGTTGCACGAAGCACGTCTTGAGCAGTCGAGCTGCGAACGAGACAAAGTTGGCGTGATACGTAACAAGAGCACAAGCGTACGAGCAAACATGTCGGCGACAAATCAAACTGCCTTTTGAGGACTCCTTCTTTAAGTATTATTTCTGTTGCGTCGTTCCGTCTTTATGTTTTTTTATATTTTGTATGTTGGTTCTTTTGTTCTTTGCGTATGTCATCCAATGTGTTTCTTTCTGTCTTTATATGTTTGTGTCCATGTATTTCTTGCTGTCGCCCTTTCTTTCGCGTGTCATTTTTTTTACTTTCTGTCGTTGTTTCTTTCTGTCTGAGTATCTTTCCTTCTTGACGCGGTCATTGTTTTGGGTCTGTCTTGCTGTCTTCAATTCGTTCCTGACGGTTCGTTAATTCTTTCTTTCTGTCGATATTTCTGTCGTTCTTTCTTTCTTTGGAGGCTTCCTTCTTTGCTTGTTCTGTCTTTTCGTGGTTATTTCGTTCATTCTTTCTGCATATATGTATGTGTGTGTGTCTGTCTGTCTGTCTGTCTCTGTCTGTCTTTCTTTCCTTCAATCTTTGGAGGTTTCTTGGAGTTGTCTTTATTGCGGTGTTATTTGTTGTGTTTCTTTCGTTCTTTCCGTGTTTAGGCTTTTCTTTCGTACTTTCCTTCCTTCCATATGTCGTTTAATTCCTTTTCACAGTTCTTTTAGTCTTTGAGTTTTTGTGCCTCGTATCGTTCCTTGCTTGCCTGTTTTGTCCTTTTGTGTCTTTCTGTCTTTAGTTCTGTCCTGTTGTTTATTTCGTTCCTGCGTTCGTTCTGTCATTCTTTCTTTCTGGCCGTCCTTCCTGTGATGGCTTTCCTTTGCGTTGCTTCTTTCTGTCCTTGCTGCTTTCCTTCCTGTCATCCTTGCGTGTGCCTTTCCTTCCCCCACCCTCACCCAAAACAAAAGGACCAACAACAACAACAACAAAGCTAAGAAACACACCCTCCCATCACTATTGTTACTATTAAATTATTACTACTATTGTTACTGATAGTAGGACTAGTAGCCGTCGTCGTAGTAGCAGCAGTAGTAGCAATAGCAGCAGGAGTTTCTGTCACCCACCTGGCACAGGAGTAACAAGTAGTAGTAGTCGTCGTCGTCGTCGCGGGCCTCCGATTTCATTTAGTGTTTCGGAGCAGAATGAAACCAGAAGGGCGGACAGCAGAAAAGCTGAGCAGGGCGAGACTGGAATAAAAGAGCGAAGCAGAAAAACAGAAAAGCGGTGGAGCAGAAGAGCGAAGCAAACAGGCAGAGAAACGGAAAAGCAAAGAAGCAGCCAGGCAGAAAGGCAGAAAAGCAAAAGCGCCAACAAGCAGAAAATCGACAAGCAAACACAGGCAAAAGGCATAAAGAACAGCGGAAAAGCAAAAACACGGAGGAACGGAAGAGCGAAGCAGACAAACAGAGAGGCGGAAAAGCAGAGAAGAAGAACAGCATGAAAGCAAAAAGCAAAAGCACAAGCAAGCATAAAACGACAAGCAAACAAACTCAGAAGGTAGAACGGGACAACAACCGAAGCATAGACAAGAAAAAACCTACAGTTCCACCAAAAGGGATGGCTGAATCGCTGATTCATCGAAGGCTGCGCAAAAAGTAACACTTTGAGAGGTTGAGTGAGCGAGTGATCGAGTTCGATGGCGAACTGTCAAGATTACAACATCTGCAGCTGCTAACACCAAACAACAAGCAACCGCAAAGCGTGTTGACTGCTTCTTTCTGTGAGAGAGTGTCAGGGTGCAGCCCTGCATGGCTCCCCGAAGGGGTCCGAGCAAGGGGTCCGCACTCGCCGAAACTTCACAGACAAGCTGCAGTCAAAACACTGTGGGATGCAGAGCTGCTGGGGCCGCGGCCGACGATTACAATGATTACAATATCTACTACTGCAACTGCCGCTGCTGCTGCTGCTGTGCTGCTGCTGCTGCTGCTGCTCACTCAGGCTCAGCTGAAAACGCTGATCATGAAGACGCTGTCTTGATTTAATGCTTGACATGGTGTTGATTGTTGTTTCCGCGGCTGTTCACCTTGCTTTCCTTGGCACGCCGCCTCTGTTTTAACGTCCTGTTGCCGGATCGTGGACGCATCTCTGTCCGTTTGTGGTGGAGCACATGCTCTTTGAAAGGGTACGCGTTCTGAATTCCTTCCGCTGGTGCCATACATCATTGCTTTTTCGGACCTGAAGATGAGGTTTCCTTGACATGCAGCAGGGCAGCATTCGCTGGCAGCGACCGGAAGTCCAGGCTGGTGCGCCCTTCGCGGCCGAAAAGAATCACTCACGAATTACAGTATTGAAATCGACACGCGTGTACTTACCACATTCAGCAGGGTTGCCCAGGCTGTCATCCAGAAGAACGTTCCTGAAAAAACGTGCTGCTTTCACATGGGACGAGGCTGTTTTCTGCTCACACTAGCTCATGCAGACCGTGCAATGCTTGACCACGACCAAGCATGATGGTCTCATGGCATGAACAATAGATAAGGGCACAACAGTCTCTAATACTGAAACATACGAATGCTGATGTACATGTGGGCGCACGCATATGAACATGTATACACATATTGACATAGAACAATATGAATATGTATATGTACAACTACATGTACATCTTCATTAATGCATACAAATATTGCCAGCAAGATCTGAAAGCATTTTTACAATCTACGCTCGTGCCCAAGCATGTTCAGCAGGGCGTCGAGTTCTTTACTTCCAGCTCCAACAAGCTCTCTTTGTCCACCTGCCTGGCGACTTTCAAGCACTGTCCAACCACTGAGAACAGTCATTCCCGAAAAAAGAGGACACTTCACCTCAGTGTACAAAGTCTCGTTTTCATTGACTAGCCACGCTTGACTCTAAACCTGACCGGAACACAGGGTGAACTTGTTGTCCACGTGCCATACAGGATTCAGGTCATTGTTGATGACCTAGGGGAAGCTCTGGCAAAGAGCTGGCGAGAAGCAGCAGCACTGCACGAGCACGGCATGCAACGCCACTGAGCTCCAAGCCGGCGTGGTAAACTCCTCCATCTATTGGAAAAGCTGGTATTTCCGGACTGGGAGGCTAGTGGAAAACACTTGCCTGACCCCCCAGCTGACCAAGGAACTTGAATCGCTTGCCCGCTTCCAGGTCCTGCCGACCAAGCTTGACCACGACATATGGATCTGAGACCTTGGCGTCCCAGCGTTTTCAGTAGCTCGCATCTGAGCCCAATCACACCAGGCTGCATCTCCCAAGATGCCAGTGTCCCGATTCATCAAATTGTGGCCCGCCTGCACCATGTCGGCTCGAAACCCTAAGTTTCAAAGGCTTCGAGGGTGCCACGATCGTTGCTTAGTCTACCGACGTCGGCTCCTGGATGGAGACGAAGAGCGTCCCCGGCGTCTTCCGGGCCGGTGAAGTGGGCGAAGCAGGCTCCAACCCCGCCACAGACAGCGGCGAAGAAAAACCGCCTCCGAAGCTACAACGTTTGCTTTAAGACCTCCGCGCTTCAAGCTAAGTGAAAGTCAGTCTCCTGGGGGCGGCGGCAGCAGGGGTGGAGAGGCAGCAGCGACCTCGAAGCAGGTGCAGGCGACTAAAGGATGACATGCTTGGACCCTGCGTTGGACCATGCCCCTCGAAACGATACATCAAAAGCCCCCTGATCAAGTCTGCCTTGGCAACCTGAAGCTGCACCCGTGGATGCCCGAGGAAAGAGGGCAAAGACAAGCGAAGCCTCGTGGCCCTCCCTGTGCCATGAAGCCGGCTACGTCTCCTGAAGTGGCTCTCCTGACTCTGGCCTGCGCCTGCGTCCAGTCACTGGGCTTTGCCGCCGCATCGAAGTAGCGTCGGTGTAGCTCCTGAGGTGCACAGAAAAGTCATCCGATCCGCCCATGAAAGGCTTGCAGGACTTTCTACAGATTCGAGGTGCAAGCGAGGCATGTCAGAACAATCCACAGAGCACTCTGAGGCTCCCCTTCTGGCGAAAGTCTGGAAAGGCTGCATAGTAACCAAACTGTGACAACGGAGTGCTGCCAGTTGAACAGCCGTGTGGCAAAATCCAGATGTTGCAGCTTCTCCTCCACAGCAGGTGGCCGCGAGTTCTTTGGAAATTGTAGTTTAGCTACCCCGTGACCAGTCAGAAACAAACTCACTCGGGCATTTAGAGGGCATCTTCCAAGCCAACACAACTCAAGCACAAAATCGCCAGCATGCAAAACCCCACAGGCTGATGCAGGCCTGTGTCGCCTTGGTCTGATACTGCAGGGTCAGTTCCCCAGCTTCCTTTGAGATGTTGAACTTCCTGCCTCAAGCACCATGTCTAGCAGTCTCAAGATTCCAAACACACGACATCTTCATTCTCTCGTGTCGAAGTACGAACTTCAGCCAAGGCACGCATGGCTGCCTCAACGAGAGTTTCTAAGCTTGGAGGGTGGGGCATATGGCGGCCCAGATCTGTATGACACGCGGCATGGCATCGCATTCGTAAACCTGCGTTAGTTACTTAGCTTAGTTGATTAGCTGGTGAGCTAGCTGGTTAAGTTAGTTGGTAAGTTGGCCGATTCGCCGGCTCGCTCGCTGGCTCGTTGGTTGGTTGGTTGGCTGGTTGGTTGGCTCTTTCGCTCGTTGGTGGGCTGGTTGATCTCGTTGGCTGTATGGCTGTTTGGCCGGTTTGCTGGTTGGCTGCCGGCTGAGCGCTGGCCGGCTGGACTGCAGGCCGGCTAGAAGGCTGCTTGGCTGTTTTGTTGCTTTTTTAGTTTCATTAGTTAGCTCGTTCGTTCTTTTCAAGTAAGTATGTACACAGGCAGTCATGTAGGACATACACATGTACGTACGTGCATACGTATGTGCAGGCATGCATGAATGCGTGCATACGTGCCTACCTAACTCCGTGAAAAGGCCTATATCTGCCTACGTCTACCTACCTACTTACCTACTTACCTACTTGCCTACTTGCCTGCTTGCCTACTTGCCTACTTGCCTACCTACCTACCTACCTAACCTACCTACCTACATACCCACCGAACGACATATGATAAAAAAAACATTCTTACATACGTTCGTCCATCCATCCATGCATGCATGCATGCCTCCGGCATAGGTGTGCTTACACTTTCTGGATGATGATTCCCCGTGTTGTCTATACAAACATCCCGCTGTTTTCTTCTCGGCTCAAGCTGCCTCGCCTGCTGTAGTGCCAGAAGCTGCTCGTCGTGGCGCCGATCGACTTCCATCTCTTGCTTGAGAAGCTCCTGGAGAATCAGAGGATCTACCTCTTCGGGTCGCACAGCCTGTGGATCGCAAGAGTTCAGAGCCCCACGAACCATATTGATGCGAGCGCTGGGAAATACTGCTGGTCACCCATGAGTCTTAGCATTTCTGTTGTTTCATTTGATCTTGCTGCTGCCTGCCGCTGAGTCTACTGCTCGCACCTGGTCAACCGTCGCACGTGCCTGCCTGGCATCTCACAGGCATGAGCTTGCGATGGAGCCTTGTGGAAAAAGGCGCACCGGGCCTCTTGCACTGGTCGTTCTTCGCCCGAAGGTACTCCAAGTTTGCCTGACGGTCGTTGGATCGGCGACCGAAATCCTCTGAAGATGGATGCACAACGCGTTACGGTACCCAGCCTGATGCCGCTGCGTCAACGTCGCCACACGCTGGCGAACCTGCTCCTCAAGCAAGCACACGGGGTTTCAGCAACTACAGTAGAGCATCAAAATTCTGCACAGCAAGCTTGGTCCTGCAAGGCTTTGAGATACTCCTGCTTCCTGGCAGCGTGTCGACGCTCTCAGTTGCTGGCTTGGTACTACCTGGCACCCCAAGCCAGCCTCGCATCCACGCGTTGCGGGTCCGGGAAGCCGTCCAAGAGGCTCGGAGGAGGCAATGGGGGCCGCTCCTCAAGAAGAGTTCTTTCCTGAAAGTTTGGTGAACCAAATTCTGCTCGGAGCCGGACATCCAGCAGCTGGCCTGCCCACATGAAACGAAGATCGGGGGGCGATGAGCTTTGCTGTGCATCGCCCGCCTGACTTTGAGGCGGGCTGCAAGCGCTGCGCATCGCTTGGGTGACCTTGATCCAACCCTGTCGAAGGACACTCACTCCCGGCAGTCTTAAAGAAGACGAGGCCCACTTCACTACAGGCTCGCAAGTACGCTCTGCACCTCCCGGTGCCAAAGCTCGTGCGTCCGGCAGCGGCAATGGAGTCGGCGAAGGCACGAGCATGGCGGAGCCAAGTTGCACTCCAAGTGATTGCGATGTTTACAGCTGAGTGGCTGGGGGAGACTGAGTTTGCATCCAATGCGGCACAGGCAAAAACAGTGATAAGTCGCTGAATCGTGTCACAGAGTCTTTGTCCCAGAAGACTTCTCAAGGTGCGGCCGGTGCGGCGCCTTGCTCACACCCTCTCCGAGGACTGCGGAGCCCAAACAACGAATGATGCTTCCATCTTGCACAGCCACAGAGCCGCACAGCGCAAAGCGATGCAAAACGTGTCCCGATGCCCTCGGCCTGAACCAGCCAGCCCATGTTGTACTCCATCTTGCATTGGGTGAAACGGATGGAGTCCTCAGAACCCAAGACGACGATCCTCGAAGACAACCAGATCGAACCATTTCGACAGCAGCTCCTGCTGTTTCTTCGACAGCTCGTGATAGGAGGGCAAAGCATAGGAATAATGGTCCAAGACATAGCCTGAGCTTGACAAGTCCGATAAGGCACTCATACACGCTATACTCTATACACGACAGGTCTTTCTCAAGAGCCTCTGACAGTCTGAGCCCCCAGCTAAGCGCAATGTCGTGGTCATGAATCGTCTCACCCACCTGACGCAGCCATGTCAGCACGGTGCTGGGCAGCCGGTTGGCTGCGTTGACATGTCAGAGCGAACGGGAGAAACTGGAAATTCCTGAGGCAGCCTTGTAGCCGCGGTAGGGCGCATGGTCCGGCGCCACCGTCGGCAACAACGGCACCTTCAAGTGCAAGAGCGGATAGCAGGCTTGTTGCTTTTGACAGTTGGCGCTAAAGTTCTAAAGACCCAAACTAGTGGCGTCTTCACAACTCGACCAATGAAACCAGCCCATGCAAGCACGACCATCGACTTGCAACAAACTTTTGCTGAGTCCACGAGCAAAGCCTGGCAGATGCCAACATGTCAGGAGCACCAGCTTCATGATATCGTGGATGGCTGTCAACACCTTGGAAGAAACATCGAACATCTTGAGAAAAGCCTTAAGACGTCCCGTGCAGGAAGTCGAAGGAACTCGACAGTGCCCACACGCTACACGCTTTCGGGGGCTGTTCCAACGTCTGAAGGTCAAGTCTAGACGAGGTTGCACTGCTGCATGAGCAGCCCACTAGCATTGCGAGGACGCGCTCCTCGTCATGACCTGAACCACTCGCGCCAACCGGGCTGCCTTCATTCACTCGAGTGCTACCTGTTCAAGTCCGACGGATCAGGACATTTCTCCACAGGGTCTGAGGCGCGATCCTTGCACACCATCGCACAAAAGACCGGCGTCGTGCCTCGGTTCTCTTGCCCATGCCGGCCACTCGTCGGGTAGGATAGATCTGATACCATCTCTCCCACACCACTTTGTTCAAACTATGCATCCGCACAAGAGCTCGTCTATCCTCTCCCACTCAACCTGGGCGAACATCTCAGAGAAATCGTGAGTCGTGCAAAGCTTGCCCATCTCCTCCCCTCGTTGCAACGGTGCCGTGCCTCGTTGAAGAAAGTCTGCCTGCTGCTCAGGCACTACACCACATGTGCATGCGTGGCTGCAAAATCTCGGGCATTGCTAAAATAGCACAAGCACACTTCAGGTAGGCTCGCTGGGCGGACGCAACCGTGCTGCCTTTTCGCGATCTCCTCCTTCTTGCGTCGAGGTTGCTTGGACCGTGCATTCCTCGGAGTTGCTGTGCATTCGGTAAAGTACGCACCCTGCGGCAGCCGCTCTCCCTTGACTTCAGAAGCTGTGTAACACACAGTGGCTCCCACTCATCATCCACGCCGAAGCAGAACCTTGAGACCGCGGACATCCGCGGACTATTCAACCACTGGATGGCAGGATCCAGCACTGCATACTCGCCTCTGCCATCGCATTACAGCCCAAACGCCCTTTCAGAGAGGCACACTACAACGAATGTTCGGGGTGCAGGGATGCGCCCGGCCAGGCTTCGAAGTTCGAAGCCATGGTCATGAGTAGTGCCAACGACGACACAGTTTGGATTCTGGAGGTAAGGCTTGTCTTCCTGTCCTGTGTGGGAAGTGTGCATGCAGCAGGTAGCGTGCCTTGACCTTGCTATGAATCCCGAGGACGCGGCGACTCGGCACCACCCATCTTCCGCCGCATGAACCAGAAGACCGCAAAGAGTGCACCCATCTGAGAGACCGTATCTCACACAAAGTGGATGTTCTACATTGCATTGCATTGCATCGCATTGCATTGCACTGCATCGCTACATGCTGCCCTGCATGACTGGAAATGTCTTCCCGAGGCTGGAGCCGTGCGCTGGTACTCCTCCATGGAACTTCGGCCACTGCTAACCAGGCCCCCGTCGTCTGCCTGCCGCTCAGAAGAAGACTTCACCCTTGGCACTGCTCAGGCCCTCAAAAAAGCCTTAAGCCACAAACCAACAAACCCCAAGCTCCCAGCTGTCCCGGCTTAGCGCCGCACCCCATAAAGCAGCAGCTCGGGAAACGATGCTAAGCAGTCGTCGTAGAAGCCTGGGGGTTTACGGATGACTCTGGATATGAAGCTTTATGGCTTGATGGTCTACGCTTGGGGCTTAGGGACTACCACCGGATCGGGGTTTAAGTTCGCCGGTGGGTCCAGAGGTCGAGGATTGCAGTCTAGGGCTCTTACTGTTGCAAGATATGCAACAGAAGAACACAACGACTCCCTTCCTGTCCAAGGCCCAGGCTCTTGAGGCCGTATGTTGGATCCAGCATCCTGGAAATTGTGGAGGATCTGCTCTTATGCGGTTGAGATCTTATACTGATAACTGAAACAACTCCGCAGGGCAACAATATCTTGTATTCTCCTACACTGTTAGAAGGCACCGCTATGACAAGCAGCGTGTTCGAGCGCACAAGCCCTGGTAAAAACGAAGCAGGCACAAACGCCCGGCTCACAACTTTTCTCTGCCACTTGGCTACAGCTCGAGAGTCCCGCCCTGCGGAATGCATGGCACAGTCCTGCACAAAACCTCACCGACATGATCACAACACTCACATCCGCAACATTTTCCTGAGGTTTTGGGCCTCCAAATCACACACATAAGGCTCTTGCGGTTCTAAGTCTTCAAACCAAGGAAAGTTGCAATCACGGGTGAAGTCTCGAAGCTTGCTGATAAACATCTCCTCTTGAGATTTCAGCATCTGCTGAAGCTTTGCTTTCGTAAGCTTCTTCCCGGCTGTGAAAGAAGGATCGTAAACGATGCTCCACTTCTGGCCTCTTGTCAGGAATTCGAGAAGTCCTTTTCTTGCCGAGGGGGTCACTTTTTTGGTCAACCCGTCGGCCAACTGCGTCGCGCCGTTGACCCAACGAAGTTTCGTGCCGATGCGGATAGCCTGCTGGTAGGAAACAGTAAGTTCAAATCCGGCTCTACTCAGGCCACGCAATGAACTGAGATTTCTTGTCATTGCATCGAAAATGCCGTGGCTATCTGTGATGATAGCACCATGTGTCCTGGCCTTTAGCTCAGCTTCTAAGCTCTCACGGGAGACAGCACCGCCATTCAGCTCGAACCACACAGCTCGTAAAAGGAAGCATGAATCTTCACCAATGGTGATCGCTTGCACTTCGGCTCCATTGCTTCCAAGAGTTTCGCATGGTGCCTTACTGCTTTTCCAAGCAATCAGAGCAAGCTGGCCTTCTTCGCCGTCAAGGAGAGATCGTGGTCCGTAACAGGCCAAATAACCCACGGTCGAGGACTTGTTCGGACGGTTCCCCTGGCTGGCGTCAGCCCAGACCACCGCGCTGATGGCTTCCCAAGGCAGGCCCCAGGAGGGGTACAGAAGTCGCTGACTGGCCGTTCGCCTCACTTCGCGGACTAGCTTATTCGCCTCCTCCAGGGTAGCGACGGTCGCGGTGGGAACTTTGGACAGAAGAAGAGAAACTTCGGCTTGGAACTGCGGCCCGGTCTGGGTTCCCTTCCAAGCCACTGTCCCGAGGAGACCACGAAGTGCAGCAACCTCCTCTTTTGTCGCTTGAGACTTCTGCTGGGAGAGTCTCTGCTTGGAGATAGGAATCTCCTTCACCCACTCGCGAATGTACTCCTCCTGGTTCACGTAGATGCCTTCAGGAGTCTGCTTCACAAAGCAGCCTGCAAAAGTAAAACCTTCAGAAGCCAGGGACCACTTGCCGAACTTGAAGGTAGAGCGAAGGTGCTCTTCGGCCTTCTCGTAGACCTCGTCGCCTTCCTTGCCGGCAATCAAGAAGTCGTCCACGTGAATCCCGGTCACAGCAATGAGCTCATTAGCCTCGCTGTAGAGCCCAAACAGGCAACGATCAAAGGTCATCTGTCGCCATCCGTACTGTTTGAGGGCCGATACGACAGATTCGTACCATACCCTTGGGGCGTGGACGAGGCCGTAGAACGCCTTGGTGAGCTTGAGGACTGTTCCAGCCTCTGCTGGGTCACCCCCGAACATCGCTGCCAACGTCAACCTCAGCCTCCGCGCTGGCCTCGGTCACCGGGGTCTCCGCGTAGGGCTCGGAATCCCAGTCGTGCCAAGAAGCGGCCGCCCACTCGGGAGAAGCCCAGTGGGCCTCTTCATCCCACGACCACTCAGCCCAGCCATCATCCATCAGCCAGGCCTCTTCTTCGCCCCAGCCGGAAGAGGGAGGCCAAGGAGAATCCTCAGCCCACCAAATTCCACGACGTCGGTGGGGCCGAAGAGCATGTTGCTTGCCTTCCTCAGGGTCACCAAAAAGGGCACGAAGAGCCTGACGGATTTTCTCGAAGGCGACCGAGTTAGAAGTCAAGGTTAAGATCTGCATCCGCTGGTCGCTGTTGAGCCCGGCCGCCTTGAGGAGTCTGTACCCTCTCAGCTCATCTTCGAAAAACCCAACGGTAGGGGCAGCAGGCTTCACAAGCAAAGGCGGGGTCGAAGTAGCTGCCTCCTCTTGGGGAGCAGCCTCAGCATCGTCGCCCTCGTCCGTGGCCTCCTTCTTGTCCTTGGCCGAGCTCGGCGACGCAGCCGCCGCAGCCTTAGGAGACACAGGCGTGGGAGGCAGCACGCCCTCCAAGACTTCCTGCTTCCTTGCACGGGACCGAAGCAGGCTCAGCTGAAGCTCTCTGAAAAGGTCGTCCTCCCGGACAATCAGCTCCGGGATGGTCTCCATGTCTTTCCTCCTCAGGGAGTGCCACCTTTCCAACTTCGAGAAAGAATCTGGTATAGGTAGGGTCTGTAGGGGCGAAGCCCGCAGCACCTGCAGCAGCTTATCCAATCCGGCAGAATTGTCAAAGTCCTCTGGCGACAGGTGCCTGACCACGCTCCTAGCGGGGCTGGTAAGTCGGCTCCACACACGAGCCGCAGCGCCTCTTCTTTCGCCCTCCTTCAGAGTGTTCTCGTACCATCTGCAAGCCGTCTCGAAGGTGTGGAAGGTGGCCGGGTCCCCATTCCAAGTAGGGACATCGAAGGAGTAGTCCTTCCTCATCAGCTGCCGCCCTGGATCAGAAGCACACCAGGTGCTCCGCTGCCATGTTCGAGCGCACAAGCCCTGGTAAAAACGAAGCAGGCACAAACGCCCGGCTCACAACTTTTCCCTGCCACTTGGCTACAGCTCGAGAGTCCCGCCCTGCGGAATGCATGGCACAGTCCTGCACAAAACCTCACCGACATGATCACAACACTCACACAGCGCAACCAATGTGTGTATCACTCCTAAGCACGGTTCGCGTTATGGCCCTTGGCTGCTTTCCAGAAGAGCAGTGGGCAGGTCTTTTTGCTGGGTTGCTTGGCAAGCGACCTCTTGGCAGCTCGCCGGGCTCGGGACCAGTTCGTGGTCCTCCGCTCAGAAGCGGAAAGCTTTCGAAAGGTCCAGGACAGATAGGCACAGCACATTCCCGTGTTCTTACAGCTAAAAACCTGACTGCATACTGCGAGCGCCGAACAGCGACTGACCCTGCCTCCCCTTCATGAGCTCGGCGACGACAAGCCTCAGCACTTCTCTCCTTCTTTGGCAAAGGTGATGACAAGTACAAGCTTGGCCAGGAAGCCTGTACTCGTCGCCATCTTCGTCAGAGACTGGCACCCTTGGGTCATGCGAAACATGAAGTGCACCCGTGCTCTTTTCCAAGCTATATTAGGCTTCGCCGCACGGACCCTCTGCAGTCGTCCTGCTAAGCTCAAGTAATTCCTGTACTTACGATGAGTTCACTGGTGCTTCTTGCTGGACTCCCTGAACAGATTTTCGGCAACGAGGAAGACATGTTGCGGGAGCCTGCGGTACATGAATCTGAGGCCGTGCACTCGAGGAGCATGGGCCTAAGTCTCGCGGCATGGATACGAATCAAGTTGCAGCCGAAGCATTCTCAGGATTCCGACAGATCCAATTGGCGCTTCGCCACGGGCGTGCAATCCTGGAACGCACACACACACACACACACAAACACTAACACTAACACTACCGCATGCTCGCACCCGACCGACAGCTGACCCATGCCTCCGTGTCAAGGTCTTTGTGCTGATCGTTGGTGAAACTTTTCCTGATGCAGAATCTTGGTGGATGCACCGAACAGATTCCTCCACACACAAAGATGCACTTCTGAACTCTCGCAGCCTCCCCTTCCTACCCGAGGCCAGGGCTGGAAATACAACAGGTCACCGGTTTCAGTGAGCTGATTCCTCACGGAAGACAGTCATGCACGTAGAACTCCTGCAAGACATCCCATGCTGCACCGGCTCCGGCCTAGGTTTCCAAAACCAGAGCGTCGACACAACGCCCTCTCGGCCAGTTTTCGAGGGTCGCAGACTTTGTCCTCAGCTTTCTGCACAGAGCAACGTCTGCTCAAGCAAGCATGTCTGCTTCACAAACGGACTGGAGCTCGGCTGATGGCTAACCCGAGTGACCGCAAAGTCATTACCTGTCATTGTCAAGAAGTCCGGGCCTACCCGTAGCACACACACAAGACAAGGCCGGCCTTCTGGCAGCCCAATAAATGACATCTCCGGGTTGTCCACATCCTTGGGGCACATGCGCTGAAAGCGCTGAACATCTGCTTTGAGAAAGCCTCAGCAGGATTTGGACGCCGAGTCACTTTGACCCGGCATTTGACGGTATGGATATTGTACACGGTCTTGAGCCCAGGATATGATCTGGAATACTCCACCTGAAAGCCAGGGAGACAAGACTTCAGGGTTTCAGAAGCCACCGGCGGGCTCTGACGAGCAAGGCTGAGTGAGAGCCCGCCCTGTGCACTCATCAAAGCCGGCACGTGTTCATCCAGCCTCCTCGTCCAACCGATATGAGGAATCCACGATGACCAGATGCGACTTTACAAAAGCCTGGGCAGCACTGCCGCAAACGCTACACTGCTATGGCAGCTGGAGCTGGCAGATCTGGAAGAGAGGGGGAAAAGAATCAGGCTGTGTTGCTGGGTTTCATGCTTACGTGCCGGAGACAATGCAAGTGTCCACGAAGCATGGACCACTCGGGGCCGAGCTTCATCCATGCCAAGCTTGCCTCGGCGAGACTTGGGCATTCTAGCGACAGAAAGCCGCTTGTCTTCACCTTCCCACGAAGGCCTCTCCGGGCTCCCTCAGAGCCTTGAAACCCTTAAAGCCAGGGCAAGCCTTCTTAATGGAGCTGCAATTGGGACCCTTCGGGCCCTGGCCGTAGAGGCACGCTAGAGCCGCGGCCTTCCAGTCCTCCGGCTGAGATGTGGGAGGGGATGGGCGGGGGGTCGGGCCAGGGTAGGCCTCGATGGCCAAGCAGCTTCTGTTCGAGCTCTGCTATGCACTTGCGAAGCACTTGTTGAGCTCACTCGGGCTGCGGGCTCCACCCATAGTGTAGGGGATTTCGCCAGTAGCAAGCTGAACCCGCAACGTACGAAGGAGGTTGAAAGTCCGGCGCGTGGGTTAACGTGGCACCCTACACCTTCGAAACATAAATAATCATGTTTGTGCTTCCAGCACTAAGTTGAACAACTCCGCTATCAAGTCGAAAAGTTTGACTGAATCAGGCTTGCAATTCCTGGTCGGACCGCATGCGCATCGTCACAGGACCTGCGCGGTGGACGGGAGCAATAGAATCACTGGAAACCGGAGGCTGTGCAGGAGAAGGCGCATCCATCCCAAGGGGCGCACCTTCCTTGTGGTTGCGCTCTCGCTTTCCAAACTGCATCTTGCCTTTGGAGCGAAGGACCTCTGCACATTACATTGCTCCAAGGAGGCAGGAACATCAATCTACATCCTGTCTGTTGTGGCAGCAGTGGGGCAGAGGCGTAATCCACACTGAGGATGGTCGCGCATAGCCAAACCTGCTGGCTGCCAGCCCGAGTGCAAGTGACCTAGACCTAAGCATCAGCATGACGGCATCGAAGAACAAAAACTGTGGCGACACTAGGGCCTGGATGCAGTGCCATCTCGCAGTTTAAGCTGGTTCTGCTACGTGCCCTCTTGCGCTCGCCATTCGGGCCTTGATGATCTGGATGTTGCGAACGAGGTGGCCAGCCTCAGGCTGAGAAGGAATGTCCCATGTTCCAAGCTCGGTGGTCCTGCGAGGCTGCTGCCCGAATATTCAGCGTGGCATATCGCGACTGGCAGGAAGAGACACTTCTTCACATGTGTCGTGTCTGTGGTGCCATCGGCCTCATAGAGCTCGTCGCAAAGCTCTGCGGTCGCGCCAGGCGGATAGTCGTTGGTGTCGATACCGTGTTCCTCGCAGATGGCTGGCGTAGCACAGACAGCAAACCGTGCGGCGGAAACGGAATACGTCATCAGGCCGCAAGTGCATGACGATATAATCGTGCTCAAGCCCAAAACATCCGGTAAAAGCAGCACGCGAAAAGGAACAAAGCTTCCGTCGAGCGGGATATAAATCAGAGGGCGCTTCAAGTAATGCAGCAACGACTGAACACAAGGATCGACACATGGGGTCGCAGGACCCCAACTCAGCAGAGCCTTGGCTGCAAGGCTGAAAGCTCCCAGCCTGCAGCAGCCGCTCCAAGGCCTCTTCGTTGCTCAGCTCCTCGCCTCGCCGGCGCCTGGCAAAGCCAGGCAAAGCCAGGCAAAGCCAGGGAAAGCCAGGGCAGAAGCACAAGGGCCATATCTCAAGCGAGCCCTGCCGGGCCAGGACCAATTGGCCTTGGGAAGGTTCGCCTGCACGAGGAGTGCTTCAGCAATAGCGCTCTCTGCATGCAGTTTGTGAACATGTGCACGCAGTGCACACAGCACGAAGCCCTCAGGGGCGGGCCACAGGAATGGCTTCAGTATCGAAGCTGGTCATATCTGGCAGGCCGATGGCCTTGAATTGGCAGTACATGCGGATACAACACGACACGCTGAGACGCCGCCATGCGCAGTGGCGTAGCTCCTGGGCTTCCCTGCTCGAAGCGAAGGCCGTGTGGGATCCGGTATGTGGATGCAGACATCGTACGTCGTGTACCTTCGGTGTGAGCTGCAGATTCGATCATGAGAGACGCATCTGAGAGTGCTCTGTACGTGAGTTTCTGAGACGTGGGCATTGTCTCCACACCGGGGAAAAACATCGACTTGATTCGCTCGACCTGCAGACGGACGTGTTTGGAGTTTGTGGGCATCGCAGTACGAAAGCAAGAAACAGCGAGTGTGTTGCCTTGTCTGTGACCACGTTGTCCTGAGCCAACCTGGCACCGGGGCCCGCACAGGGGCCGCAGGAGAAAGAGCCCACGCACCCACACACAGTGCTCCGGGGTTCCCACAGCTCCTGTCGAATCTCCGCAGGTAAGCCAAGCCGGGACGCAAAGAACGCATCCTGAGAAGTCCGATGGCCGAGGGATGCCGAGGGTGTGCTCGGCGCTCTGGGCGCAGCTCTCCGAGGCCCATGCCACGGCCGACTTCCAGCCAGCTCCTTCCTCCCAAAGCTTCCGACTTCTCGGGCTCTTCCGAAAGACGCATCACGGCGCGAAGCGTGGACGGGCACAGCCAAGTTGCCTCAATGAACGAGGAGGGCCTCTGGTTTCTCCTTGCAGGCTCGGTCGTGCTACCAGAGCACTGGTTGTTACAGAGTCACAGCTTGCACGGATCCCTGTCCTGACCAGGGTGCTGTCCTGACAGGCTGGACTTAGCATGCTGAGAGAACCGGGTTTTTTTCCGGGGTCCTTCAGAACCTCGCAGTTCAGCCTCAACTCCATGTCGTGCCCGTCTTGGCCTTGAAAACAAGTTCAACAGCTCGCTGTTTTTGACCTAAGTGCGCTGCGGCTCTTCGGGGCTCCAGCCAGTGACAGTGAGGCTGATGTTGACCTCAGAGAACAAGTGCGATGCATGTCAATGAGTCAGTTGATGGTCCGCAGTGCACAACTGGTGAAATACGCTTTGCACCTACTTTCAGCTGCTGCAAAGAGCTTCGGCGGGATGTGCAACCGCAGCAGTGCCAGTCTCGAGGCTGGTATAGAGCCTAAAAGGGCCTTAGGGCAACACCAGCTCCATCCGTCTCTCCAAAGAGTCGTTCTTCTTGACGAAGTACGACTTCTTCTCGACCTGCATACCAGGAGCGAGTTCCTTTCAAGGAAACGTTACATCCCCTTTCAGGAACCGGGGTAGTAATGCTTTATACGAGCTCGTCATGTCCTGGATAATGTGGAGCAGCTGCGAAGTATCTGCCAGACCCAAGGGCGGGCCCTGGGGCCTGGGCTTCAGTTTAGGGCCTAGGGTTTAGGGCTTCGAGGGTTTACGGTTTAGAGGTCTTGGTCTTGCGATTCGGGGGAGCGGGGGACTTCTTTCGTTC